AATTTGTTCTTTATTATTGTACCAATTTTTTCAAGTTTAGCACCCTTATACGTTTCCATCCGCTTATTAAAATACTCCAAATAAATTTCTGACCACTCTTCTTTAGACACCTCAGAAATCTCGAAATTATAAACAGCCAGCGTGCTTTCAAACTTTTCAGTTTCTCTGATTTTGAAAACAAGTAAAAGTCTCAAGATGGTGCGGTTGGCTAGGTCAGGTGAATATCGCAGATGAGGTAGGAGATGTGCAATAGACATTTGTTTAGAGTTAAATAAGTCGAATGTGTTGGTCATCGGTTGCGGCCAGGAATGTCCGATCGAAATATCAAAATATCTGGACAAAATTTGTATAATGTTGGGATTTGGGGTTGTTGTCGGGAAAAACAAATATTATAAATAAAAAAGTTAAGTAAAAAGTTTATTTTGATTTAACGTTTAAAAAAATTTAAAATTTAAAAAAACATACAATTTTTGACACATAACTAATTTAAGTACACTTAATTTTTTTGGTTACCACATGCATTTCACTTAATTTTTAGGTTGCCACATGTACCTTAGTGAGTCCACCAATTTGGATCCTTTATTAGTATTCAGTAGATTTAAAATTCAAACAATTTACTTCAAAGTTCGGTTAAATTACTAACCCAGCTTTTATTAAATCAAAAGAAGCTGTGATGTGAAGTGAAGCTGTTTGTCTGGAGATTTTGAGTTTTGTCGGAAGTCTGGAGATCATTTAAATTTAAAAGTCTTTCTGCTCAGCGGTAAGTTTGTACAGGATCCTTACAACGCTTACGGAAAGACATCGGCTTGTGAATGCCAATTTACTCATGTTACTTAATTTACCTATAACGTTAATTTGAATATGTATTTCGACTGCTCGAACATTTTCTTACGTTTCCGTGGTTGGATCTTTAAAGCTAACTCCTTCTCTTTTAAATTTATTGTTCTTGAACAAATTTGAAAACTATTTTTCGTGAACAAGTGTTTTATTGCATGCTCTATTCCTGCCAGGGAATCATGTATATGGTCGGGGAAAAAGTTTCCTTCGAATTTTATATACAAATACAAATTTAAAAATTAATTATCATATATATGTGCCATTTTATTCGATAACTTGTTGCCATCTTGTAGGTACTGACATAATCCCTTTGCTGTAGAAATCTTGGAGTTTTTGATTAAAAAAAATGTGACTAACACTAACAAAAGAATTCTGAAGAGATCAAAACAGGTGAAAATCTGAGAGCGCAAGGTCAGGACTATATGGTGTACACTTCCCAACCAAGCTCTCTCAATTATCATGATGAAAGACCACTCCTTTTCTGTTTTTCTGTTGATCAATTCTGTTCGTTTTTCCTCAATTTATTGCTTGATTCTCATTAGTTGATGGCAGTAAAGATCCGAATCGATGTTTCGCCCGGGAAAAAGTAAAACTTCAGAATGTATTGAATATCATCGTTAGATTCACTCATTTTGGCGGACAGGATTACAATTGAAAAATTGTCCTATATGTATTGATATTAACACCAGCTAGATACAAATAGTACAACAAAAGAGACTTTTTTTTCAATTTACCTGAATTCAATTGACCTAAGACGAAAGTGATGGTTTTTGAAAGAGAAGAAAGCAAAACGGTATGTGAAATAAGAATAGAAGGAGAGTTAATTGAGCAAGTGGATGCGTTTTTGTATTTGGGATGTGTATTTAGCAGGGATGGTAGATATGATAGGGATATAGAATGACGAGTAAATGCAGGTAATAGAGTAAATGGGGCACTACACTCTATCATGAAGAACCAGAATGTGTCAAAAAAGGCACGTATGGTAATTCATAATGCTGTGTTAGTCCCTACTTTAATGTATGGTAGTGAAAGCTAGGTGTGGCAGAAGAAGCACAAAAGTAGAATAAATGCTGTAGAAATGCGGACTTTAAGGAATATGCTAGGGTTAAATCTGAATGATAGGGTGAGAAATTGCGTGATAAGAGATAAATGTGGTATGCAAGATGATGTTATGACCAGGATTAAGCAAGGAATGCTTCGGTGGTTTGGTCATCTAGAAAGAATGAATGAGGAAAGAGAGACAAAGCAAATTTATATGGCGAATGTGAACGGCCGAGTCGGGAAGGAACGCCCTAGGAAAAAGTTTATTGACCAAATTGGCGATATTTTGTAAATGGGCACGTTAGAAGTACCCTTAACCGACGAACATGTATGCGTAGATATATGGATGTAAGGGAGGCGAAAGAGGTATGTCAGGATCGTGCCAAATGGAAGTCCGTAGTCTCTGCCTACCCCTCTGGGTGACAGGCGTGAGTGTTTATGTTATGTTATATGTCAATTGACCTATTATTACTTACTAATATTGGGGGGATACCACTTCAGTTCCATCTTAGTTCTCAGGGGTAACTACGCTTGTGTTATCTGTTTTGTTTGAAGATGGTTTCCCTTCCCTATCCCTATGCTGCAGTAGCCACATACCTCCATTGAAATGTTTGCAACTATAATGTTATAAATAAGTTAGAATGTAAACCTTAAAACCATGGTATAATAAAGAGTCAGTTGTTAGCTAAGTCAGTTGATAACTAAGCCAAAAAATCGTCTCACATGATACAATAAACATATTGCATAAACTTTATAAAAACGTAAACCTATTTTAGTTTTGATGTAATTATGTTTTTATATTTATTCGAAAATTCTACATAATCCGAAGAATTTCCATCAATAAATTATTTAGAATGTTCTGTAACGTACGGATAACTACAATGGTATAATTATTAATTTCCTTTCATAATATATTTGTTGGAAAAGATAATAAATAAGATGATATAATGTTTTGAGTGCACTAGAGCATGATAAAAATATAAAACGTGTACATAATTGGGGTTCACTTATTCACAAACATGAATCATACCACTTATAAGTAATTTCACAGTGATTTGGTCATCTGACACATGACTTTGGGACACGGTAAGCATGTTTCGTATTTTCCAAGGTCAGAGTACAATTGGATAGATAATATTTTTAAATATTTTAATATTGATTCTAATATTGGTTCCAGTATTTAATTTCTATCCTCATGTTATAATTTTATGTTTTAACTCATATCATAAATATATACATATCAATTTGCTTAGCTTTATACTGCTAATGAGGTATTTCATCTTAGCCCTCAGGGATGATAACGCTTTCAGACTCTTAATCAAGAATAAATGTTTATGGGCCGCAAAGGTTTATCACACTCACAGTTTGAGCACGTTGATTAATAAAGGTAAAAAAATAACTTTTACCTCCGGTTTTAAACGGTTATAAAAAGAGATAACAGATTTTTTTAGTAGAAAGACATCGATGATGATTCTATCAGTAGAAACCCTTGATCAAATACTCCATCAAATACGTAACCAGGGCACTTAATAGGTTAGTTGCTTATATTGTGATTATTTGAATGATAATTTGGGGCAAGGCTTTTCTGGAATTTAAAAAATACGCAAGATTAGTAAATGGTCTCCATGGACGCTGAATACCTGTTTATGGATTTTTGGACCTTTGTTTTGGGTATAAAATGAATTTTTATCATTGCGTGCCTTAAGTGCGTAAATATGTTCTACTAGCGACTAAAAATCAAGAATCCAACGTTTTATTGCATAAATTCGTGTCTAACAATCATATTGAACACATAAGTGATATAAAAAGCACATTGTCAGAAAGAGAAATGATTGTTGGAATTAGTATTTTTTAAATCGATTAAATGCTATTTTTACATTAAACAGTGGTTTTCGTAGCTTATGGTGTAGAATTATCAAGTTCGCATCGAGGGGTAAATACGATAACTTTTGAAAATATGAATTGTTTATCTCAATCAAATTTTTAATCTCTTCATCTGAATGGCAGTTAAATTTTGTTTTGTTTAGTTATAATAAATTTTTTTCGGTTGAGAAATTCAGAAATTTTCGGTGTTATGAGCAGCCTTGTAATACTACATTTTATTAAATACACTTTGATAGGGATATATGATATGCTATAAGGTATGAATATATATCGTATCGATATTTTTGAAAATATCAATATCGATATTAATATGTTTATTCATAAATATCGATATATTGGTATGATTTAAAATGAGTTTATTTGGCCTTGTCTAGTTCAATCATCTTACATTGCTAGATAAATACTAATCAATAAACATCGTTTTCAATAAATCAAGAACAAACATTAAAAATATATTTATTTATTAATCAAACCAATATTTATCAGATACAGACAAGAAAAACTCTTTGATTTACGTGCTCGGCTGTCAGCCGACTTCTGTTGTTGGGTGCTGCAAGATTTACAGCAGATACCACTCAGCAGGTTCATCAGTCATGGTCATGGTAATAGTTGAGTTAGACGACGAAACAGGTGAATTGGTTCTTATTGTCATTCGTTGAGGTTCTAAAGCCCTTGATGTAATATCCACTGCACTTGACCTTACGTTTATATTTTTAAGTCGCAAAAACGCATGGTGATGCTTATTTTTTAGATGTGCAGCTAAATTCGTCATTTTGCCACTGGTTTTATATGTTTTTCCACACAAATTACATGAAACGTTTTTTTTTGTTTATTTTTTTATAAAGATCCATACAGCACTAGACATTATATATCAGGGATGCCCATACTTTTTCTTGGGGAGTTCGACCTAGCAAAAATATTTGACTAGGAGATCGACGTTTAAACCGTACATCCCACCAACTAAAACCAAAATATAATGACACCATCATTTCAGCCTTTTGAACGTCCAATGCTAGACATAAAGGCCTCCGTCAATGATTTACGCGACGAACAGTCTGCGTTTTTTGCATTCATCGAAGGCGCGCGATCCTGCAGATCGTCGGTTCATCGTGAAGGAGAAGTAGTTATCAAAAAAGAATTAGAAGTAAAACGGCATTAGTGATGTTTATTAAATTTTTAATCATCCAACACTACAAAAATAATAAAAAATATTACTGATAAGTAATAAAAAAGAAAAATTATTTTAACGCTGATGTCGAAGCATGACATTGGTGGTCCTCCGCGAAATTTTCATAATTAGGGATGTTTTCTGTTAATGCTAAATGCAAACAGGCTGTCAGCTGGTCATTTGTTAGACGTGTGCGATATTTTGATTTTATTGTTTTCATATGCGAAAACGCAGACTCGCACAGATATGTTGATGCAAAGAAAGCAGTTATTTGCAGGGCAATTTGTTTCATAAATGGATATTTTATTTCGGATATTGATGACCAATAAGAATAAGAATGACTGTTGCCGGCTCTAGCTTTTAAATTTATATCCAAAATTATCTTCAACATTTCATCCTCAAGAGCAGTACATTCCATATTAAAATAGTTGCTACAGCTAGAAGAGATTTCATGAACATTTGTGCAGGTAAATGGGTAAGACAGAAATGATAAAATATTCTCCATTTTATTAATATCTTCAAAGCGTCTTTCAAATTCGCTCAGAATTTTTGTCACTTCGTTTACATATGACACGAAACTTTCAGAGTTTTGTTGCAATAGCAGGGTTGGGAAGTTCCTGCAGTCTTTGTTTTTAATTTCTTCCTTCAATAGTTTCCACTTACGCTTGAAAGCATTTATGCAGGACATCATGTCCACAATATTTTTATCTTTTTCTTGCAACTCCAGGTTTATATCGTTGAGGTGCATTGTAATGTCGACTAAGAAAGCCAAATCGCTCTGCCATTTTCCATTTTTCAGCATTTCAACGTCGTCCCCTCTGGCTTCTAGAAATATTATTATTTCAGGCAATAACTCATGAAATCTTGCAAGGAATCTTCCACGACTTAGCCACCTTACATCTGTGTGAAGAAGTAAGTCAGTGTGCTCGAATCCGCTGCTTTCCAGTTGTGCTTTGAATAATCGCCGCTGCAAACTTCTCGCTCGGATGGAGTTTGCTACTTTGAAGGCTATCGTCATGACATCTTTCATGTTTAATATTTTTCCACAATGTGCTTGTTGATGAATCACACAGTGAAAGGCGAAAAAGATCAGAAATTCTTCATTAGCTCGACACAGTGCGATGAATCCGTTATGGTTGCCTGTCATGGCTGGAGCTCCATCTGTGGTTATGCATACAAGTTTATACAGCGGAATTTGTGCTTTTTGTGTGTACTTTAGAAATGAATCATAGACATCTACTCCTCGAGTACATTCTTTCAACGGTATCATTGTTAGAAAGTCTTCTTTAACGGTCATATCTGGAAAGACCATGCGTATGAAAATACATAGTTGCGCCACATCTGTTGCGTCTGTGGATTCATCAAATTGGAGTGAAAAGTAAGAGCAGTCTCTGAGATCATTCATAGTTTGACTTTCCAAGTTCTGGCTTATTGTTTCCACACGTCTAGTCACGGTTTGCCGGGATAGTTGAATATCTTTAATGGTTGAAATTATTTCAGCTTTGTTTTTGAAATTTACGAACAAGGACTCAGCTGCTTCGAGAAAGCATTCTTTTATCATCACTCCATCATCAAACGGCTTCTTATTTTTAGCTAAAATGTGGCTTATTTTGTATGATGCAATAGTAGCCGATTTGGACTTCTCCAACGGTTTTGTAAACATGGCTTCTTCACCTGCCAAATAACGCTTCATGTCTTTCAATTTAGATTTTCGTATATCACTGTGACGTAGAAAACTGTCTTCATGTTTTTATGAATGGTTCATAATGTCTTTCCAAATTACCTCGTTTTGGTGTGGCGATGGCAAATCGGCATATCAAACATACACATTTTTCTTTTACCATAGTGAAGAAAAACTCTTCTTCCCACTCAGGATTGAAGTGATACGTTTTGGATTTCCTCGGCCCACTCATTGTTTCAGGGATTTACGGTTCTCCGTCTATAAACAATAAAAAACGTACGTGTAGCAACTCAAGAGCCTGATAGCATGAATTATATATTTATATATTATAACTATGTTTTATACATGATGTCAGCAAAAACATATATAAATTTTTTGACTTGTTCCTAAAAGACTAGTATCCAGGAACGCTAAAAATTTAAAAAAAATATGGCAATAATCGCATCTCTTCACAAACAAATAATATTTTGTTGCAGAAATCATGTATAAAACATAGTTATAAAATAACTCATTATAATGATGTAATTAATAGTTTTTTCTATTTACCTAACCTAATTTTCAATTTACGAGATTGTCGCCTTTTAGCTGCTATCTTGTTGTTAACTTTCGCGGTGATACGTACGTGACTGCACTGAATGACCCTTATTCACTCACTGCCTGCTGTTGCCGTCGTCGTCACGCGTCAAACGACTCCCCCGCCCGCGCGCCCCCGCACCGAAGGGTAGGGTCAGATGTTGTAGTACATAATTCTTCATAATTCTTTATACTTTTTTTAAACAATAAACTACCTGTTTGAAGGTCATTTCATAAAAAAATTTCCTCGACGATCGACTTTGAAAGCCTTCGACGATCGACCGTATGGGCACCCCTGTATATATAATAAAACAGAAATCCACTGCAATGCCCAAATTTATTTGTTTTCATGAATTGATTGATTGTTTGAGAACTAGGTACTTAAATGCAGAAATGCGTGTTACGCGTATGTTGAAATTATAATAATAGGTCCTCACATATGAAATTGGCGTTTTGTATGGGAGGAATATAAAGTCAATTATTTTTTGTAAAATATATTTAATTAATCAAAGCACGCACCGTTGTTATCTGCGCACTTTTGCCATCTCATGGGTAATTCATTGATCCCTTTACTAAAAAAACTATGGGGGTGAGAATCAATAAACTCTTTGAAGGCGGTTTGGACTGCCGCATCTGTCTGCCGACCAAAATTATCTCTGTAGTCGTTTCTGCAAACGGGCTAATCCCAGTCAGCATCTCGGGTCATCTGAGGCGACTAGGACTCCGTGACAGACCGCTCCGGGCTCAAATGCAGAAGGCGGTGCTCCTCGATACCGCCCGCGTCGTCCGCCGGTTTCTTTCCCTTTCCCCCTAACCCTCGGCCGTTTGGTCTCCCCTGCCGAGGGCTTCCATCTGGTTGGGCTTTCATTTATTTATGTATTTTTATGTATTTATTTTATTTTATTGATATTTATGTACATTTAACATTTTCATATACCGAACCAGATGAGGAAACCATATAGATTCCTTAAATAAATTACTTATTTGCCACAAA